CAGAAAGCAAAAACCATATCATTGCAGATTAAATTAAAGAGAGACTGGTTTGCGATTATATAGTTGTAAAAATTTAAATTACATCATAGAACATCATATCGTATCATAAACGGAATATCCCATGATTTCTCAGTCGAATTATTTGAAGATTCAGGAAACATCACTGGATAATTCCCGCTCCCACCTCCTTAGCTTGCATTCGTGGTGTAGTGGTCTGCATGCTCGGTGCGTATTCGAGAGGTCCGTGGTTCGATTCCCAGCAAGGACATTGCTCAGTTTTCATTTCCTCTACTTGCCCCCCCAAAAATACCTAATGTCTCTACAGTGGCACCCGAACTAAAAGGTGGTGAATGATGATTCTTCACCACCAGGATTTGGCGACTGGGTCCCCTAATTCCCAATAGCTCTTTAAGAGAGGAGTATATAAGGTATTTCTCCCGCCTTCTTAGTGTAGTGGTCTGTACGCTCGGCGCGTATTCGAGAGGTCGTAGTTTGATTCCCGGCGAGGGCATTGCTCTTTTTCAAGTCTCCTGCTTCCAAAAATCCCAATGTCTCTAAAACGTATATAGATATTATCTAAAGACGCTTGCCCTTTTGATGAAACTAGTCTTTCCTTTCATCTCATGCCTTCTAAATCCTTAGCCACTAAAGACTGATAAAGGCTCTGACCAAATACTGATGAAATGAATTGAATTGGATTATTAACCCTTTGCACTCGAGTGGTGCCTCTCAGGCACCACTGCATGTGATGCGATAACTCGAGCGGTGCCCGAGAGGCACCATTCGAATCGATGTGCCTATTTGTGTTTGACCAAAGGAATATCCCTTGAGAGATCTACTTGGCCTTTTGCAGATCATATTACAAGGTGTCTGAATAGCTATAAGGATGTCTTATCTCAAATAAAGGTTTGTCTTTGCAATGCTTATGCGATTAAATGTCTTATCTCAAAAATACTTGCGACCGCAGGTAGGACTCTGTCTTCGACATCAGTTCAAACTCAACCTTCTTGCCGATCGCAGTATTTCTTTCAAAGTTACTGAGCCCAATAAGTATGGAACACGACGAAGTTACTTCTAGCGAAGACGAGTTTAATTTTTCGGCAATAAGAAATGAAATTACATCACTACATAGACAGCTTGCCCATGAGAACGAAGACAAAAGTGATAAAGATAGTGACGATGTTAGAGGAGCAAGAAGACGAAAAATCCGAATAATCGATAGTGAATCTGGAAGCCAAAGTGATTGTACAGAAGAGACTGAACCTTCAGAATGGACAGTGTGCACAGAAAAGCGCCTCGAGCGCAAAGGGTTAAATTACGGCAAAGCAGGGCTATCTGCCTAAAAGGAAGAATGCCATCATGAAGAACTTTCTACAGGAAACCAGCTGGCATACACGTTACAATGAGAAAAATCCCGAAAACGCCCATGCAACCAGCCTGTTCGCCGGGATTCGAACCCTGCAGCGAACTACCAGTGTTCAGCAACTTTGCCGCTTGGGCATTTGTGGGCCTTTATGAAATGGAAGGCGATTATTTAAAATGAATTATTACTTTATTTAAAATGAATGTCAGAAATACGAAGATGTTTCGAAAAGTTGGATGCTTTTTAACCCATTAGCCGCTGGTGTTGCGTTGACGCAACGGTCAAAATAAATGCGTATATAAATATAACTACCTAAGATATTTTATACCAGCAGATGATTTTGTGTAGGGAATATTTTGAAGATTATTTCTGTAAAAAAATATTTGTCTTCAACAATTATTTTGTTTATAATATTTAATCTCATACTTTAAGCAAAATTTTCGACTGGGTATTTTTGCTCAAAATATTTAATGAAAGGATCGCCGTCTTTAAGAGTGATCTATTTTTAGTCAAGGTCACCGTTTATCCGAACATTACATCAGTCAGATGTTTATATTTGTGTTGGGAAGGAAGGGAAAACAGGTGTTGCACTGACGCAACGTCAGCAGGAAACGAGTAGTCAATCTCTTTTTTCACTCATTCCTTTCGATGTTCTGTTTCATGTTCTGGTTGTTTAAAAATGCCTAGAACGAGGTATCTTACATTAGAAGCAGCCCTTCAAAGATATTTTGATGAAGAAACAGATGATGATAATGTCAATAATGACCAGAATGAAACTGATATTGTTGTTGTTCCCCCACAAATCGCAGAAGCTAGTGGCGAAGAAGAAAGGAATGGCAATGTTTTAAATAATGATTTAATAATGAAATGTATTGGTATTTTCCCCTGTGCTGGGGAAGTTGAAAGTCATTGTGAAGTAAGTTTTCAGCCTTCTAAAGCAGTTATATCATACGGTTTGAAAAGCAGACTGAAATCTTGAAGTGGATAAAAAAGGAACTGTTAGTTATGTCTCAGGAAGAACACGAAGACAGAGATAGAAGGGAAATTATAAAAGACAAAATACAAGGTAAAATTAGTGCACAGATTTTTGATTTTCTTCTTGGTTTAGACATTTACTCTCTTCTCGTTGAACAGACAAATATATACACTCAGCAAGGGAAAAAAAAAAAAAAAAAAAAGGCAGCCCAGAATTTATTGCATCTGAAGCCTATATGAGAAGATTTTTTGGAATATTACTGCTTACAGGATATCATTCTTTACCTCAAGAAAAAATGTATTGGACATTTCTGTTCCTGTTGTACGAGAATCAATAACATGGTTTGCAGTACGGAATATGAAGCAGAATTTGCATTTGACATAGTCAAATTGACAATACTGATAATTATATGAGGTAAGACTGTATCTAACTTACTAAATACACCACTTTTTAGTACTGGAATATAAAGTGTCTTTTAGATTTCAGGCGCGAGAATGCCTTTTTTGCACTCCTATTGAGAATGTAGAAATTAGCCTGAAATAGATCAGCAACAGGAAGACCTAGTAAATTCAGCATTCATAAACTATTGCATGGAGATGGTACATATTCTGGTTGATCTTTGAATTATGGTAACTTGGCGATTTTTTGGCAAAAATTTGGCGACCAACTCTGCTACAGCAACCCTCTATTTTTTTCGTCGCCATTTTGTCTTCATGAAGTAAAGACATGTTTCTTTTCGGTAGATCTTTGGATTATGGTAACTTGGCGATTTTTTGGCAGCCAACTCTGCTACATCAACCCTCTATTTTTTTTTCCGTCGCCATTTTGTCTTCATGAAGTAAAGACATGTTTCTTTCCTTTTTATTTACTGAACACTTTTTCCAACAATTTACTAGCCGAATTACACTCGTTCGTTGCCTACATTGTGCCATTCGTAGATGTTTTTTTAAGTTAAAATATGTCGCTGTGTACATGGATTCTTGTCTATATTTCGAACTTAAGCCTAAAAGTCTCCAAAACGCGGTTTTTCGGGCAAAAACTATGTTTTTGAACACACGATTTAAGCTAAAAATCCGAAACAAAAAAAAATTTAGATAGCAAAAACGTAAAGTTTCGACCAAAAATATTTGACAAGAATCGATGTACCACATGTTTTAACTTAAAAACATCTGATGGCCAATGTAGGCCAACGACGAATCTACGAACTATGCACACCTCGCTTTAAATTACCATAAGGTTGCCAAGTAGGGTAAACAAATAATATAAAAACGTATTAAATTATCTGTAATTATAAAATGTACATTTTCTTTCTTTCATACTTTTTACTCAAACTTACAAAATGCAACCTGATGCGATAATCCGTAAGTACCATCATTGCTAATAACACTTTTCCCAATAATATCATATAATTATTAACTCCTTACAATTAATAAATCTAAAAAAATACTGATAAATATAACTTAAGAATCTTCATTGTGCACTTGCACTCCACTATTTCACACAACACACAATAATTATACAAAACTATATTACTCCGTTTCCAAATTCCCCCCCTTTTTCCTTAAAGACTGCCATTTTCACATTCTCACATCACTCAACATGCAATCAGCCAACACGTTTAAAAATTCCTTGTGAGTACCACATATTCCAAATCTATAGTAAAGTTCAAAAAACTTTAAACAGAATTTTTAGATCAAAGATATTCTTCCCGTTCGTTCAGCTTTGTTGTCTTTCAATAAAATTCTGTTTTAGAGAAATATGCATAGTCAATAATTAATCAAGTTGTAATTTTAAAATCGACAAATCCGATAATTTTTGATGCGTACAAACTTTAACCGTGTTTATTTTATGTGCAAAAGCAAACACTTGCGTTTTTGCCAGTAAGACACCTTTTTTTATTTCATTAAACTTATGTATATGCTGATTTAACGTGGATTTTTTCCCCCGAACTTCCTTGTTTTGGAAAATGTTTGTTCTTGCGCGCCCCGCCTTGCTTTGTTTCCCGCCGGGGGCTCGTTTTTTTTTTTTTTTTTTTTTTTTTTTGGTTTCGTTTTTTTAAATTAAATACATTATAATTTGGAATGATAAAATTGTGGCAATGAGGGTGGTTGCCATATTTTGTTCCGGGTTACCGTTTTTTTTTTCTGGGGGTAAATTTGTATTTTCTTTTTTTCCTTGTTTCATGTTTGGCGGTCTGAGTAACAACCACTATATGCTCGGTGATGTTTTATTTCCAAAAGATAGATTTTTTTTGTGTTTTTTTAGTCTATATTAATATAAATCCTATCGCCTTTCGAGACATGAAGAACGCAATGATTTTTTTGCCCTACGGAAGATATGAACTGTTTTTTTTTTTTTTTTTTTTTGAGAGTATTGCTAAATTTTTTTCGGTTTTTGGAAAGGAGGGAGGGGGGACGATGTAGCAATGGTGAAATGGACGCATGGGGCAAAAAAAGGTCGAGAACCTCTGTAATAAATCATATAATCTTTCTGAAATACATATCATAAGAGATTTAAAATAAGTAAGGCAAATTTAAATTCCTATTTTATACACATATGAAGAACAAGTTCGAGAAAAAAATGTAAATATATCCACATAACTCTAAACCCTGTATTTTCTATAACAAATAACCTAACAAAAATAAAAACTTGATTACTTACATTTCCTTTTCCAGAAGAGACTATGATATCACTGAATGTTTCTTCCACTGTGGTAGCAACTGATTTTGCAAGGGTATTGACAGTTGAATTTCTCCATACTTTATTGATTTCTGTTTCATTGATTCTGATTAATGCTCGAGTCACTGTCTCCAAACCATTTAAAATAATAGTTAAATCTGATGGCTTCATGATTTTTATACTCTGCATATAAAGGAAAATTGAAATATAAGTATATTGCATATTTCTTACACACATTTTATGATATATTACAAAATATTAAAAAAAAAATACTTATGTGTTATTACAACCACCTTACTAGAAGTTACCAGATTTTTAGCATGTGCCAAATGCTGGCAATCATACTCATAACAATCCTTCAGTCACACAACAAATACCATTTTTGTAGGCATTTTTTTTATTTTTTATTATACTCCTCTGACAACCATGCTCTTAACAATCTTTCAAACAAGCAATGTCCCCATTTTCATATGTATTCTTTTTACTGTATTCCGAGTTTCAAAGGTTTTTATAGACAAATCATCATATTTTTTGTCTTCAAATTAATTTTAAAACAGTGCTTCCAGAATTTGTCAGCAATGGAAGAAGCCGCGATAAAAAAGTTTTGCTGGAATATAATATTTTGCCACAAACACTAAAGGGATCAATGGTAAGTTTGGTAGATACTCGGTGTGCAATTCTCTATTTTTTTATAGCAGAAACAAATTGCTGTATATATGGAAAAAAGAGCAGTACTAAATTAGACAAGGATTTGCAAAAAAAATTACGTGTTTTATTTTTTAAATTTATTATATAATCCTTAATTAATAGTCAAATTGCCTCTAGTATAGAATTGGGTCCTCTTCGATTGGTGAGAAATTCGGTTCAATTTTGGTGATGAAACCCTATTTCTGGTTACCCTGATAGTTTTAACTTGGTTTTAGCTTCCTGATTTTTTAAAAATGAAAATAGTTCGATGTGTACATGATCAAAGTCAAGGCAGTGCACAATGCTGAGTTTGTGCAATTCTCTGATTGTTTTTTAAGTGAAAATAGATTGATGTGTACATGGATACCAGGTTTATGCAATTCTCTGACTTCTTATTTTGGTTTTGTGTAGCGGCCATCTTGAAATTGGATCTTCCTGGTGCCGATCTTGGCGTAAAAAAAGAATCGCCTAAAAAACAAGGGGCACCCTATTGTAAACTTTTACCCTAAAATTTGTACTTCGAAATGTTTTCCTTGTATACTTACAATAAACATCCATCATTTAAGAATGTTTAAAAAAAAATTATCATGAAAATTGCCAACTTGCACTCTAAGTAATTTTTACTTTTTCACCAGTCAAAGATTACCATACTGTGCCAAGGTGGTTGCATTAATATGCAAGTAACAAAAAAAATTATGACTAAGGATTATTAATAAAAAATAATATGATATTGAGACAATAAGTATTTTCATTTTACAAGCAGACTTCCTGTTAAAAATTATTAAATAATATATTTACACCATTAAGTTTTATCTGCTTTTGGTATAGATCAGGGCTTCTTAAGCTTTGTTCAGTCGCAACCCCTTTTTATCACCGAGAGTTTTTTGCGACCTCAGGACCCCATAAAACTTACGAAAATTTTGTGGCACTCCATAAGCATTGCGCAGATCCGACACCCCCGTGAGTGAAACTGTCAATTTTTTTCATTTTTACTTAACATACTATTGCAGTTTTAGGTCACTAATTTCTAATTTTAAGACATAGAACAATGTGAAAATTTTAAATAAGTAACAGATGAAATAACACCGTCAAGTTCAAAGGAAGGAAAATGAACATTTATATTACAAAAAGAATACTTAGAAACATTTTTTTTTCTTTGTATGCATTGTCTTATCATTATCTATTTTCAGATACATTATGTAAAAATATTTGGTAATTGTAAAATTATTCTAATAAATTAAAGAAATATCAAAACTGCTAAAATTTTTGGCGACCCCTTGCTGCAGGTCCCGTGACCCACACTTTAAGAAATTCTGGTAAAGATGGAATTAAAATCAATTTAAATGCGCAAATGTCAACGACAATTCCTCCATACATATTAATAGCAAACACTTATATTACACATTTTTTTTTATCACATACAATTTTCTGAAAAATGTTTTAAAAAAGGAAAAAAGTAGAAAAATATAATACTCCTAAAAAATACAGCGATTTATCACGAGATATTTAATAAAATATTTAGCATCTACTTCTGTAACCTGAATACACACGTTCCTAAAATATTCAGAAGATTGAGACGGAAAATTTCAAATGCATATTTAAATTAAAACAAAATTTAACAAATAAAGCAACGTTCAATGTTTAAATTTACTAAAAAAGTTTAAAAACTTTTCCACAGTGAATGCAAAAAGTACAACGAAATTTCATGAATTTTCCTTGAAACGAAAATAAATTTATAAAGTGTAATTTTTAAAACTATTACCAAAATGATGATTTCATTTCGAAAGTATTTCAGAGTATTATGCATCAACAAAAACGCTTCAAGAATTTACTTGCATTACAGCAGCACAGCTTAATACACTTTATATTTCAGTTATAGCACCAGATCTTAACCTCAAAGTCAGTTACATAATAATAAAACATTCATAGGTTCAATGAATGTAAGCACGCAGAAGCAGCAGATTCTAGCAGACCGCTTTACAGCTGAAGTTGAAGTGTTTTCTCTAATTTTTTCCCATATATTTAGAAAACGGTAAACTACCTGAAGGATGTAATTTATGAACTCAAGTTTTCGATTTGAATTAAAATATCTACAGTATGCCTGAATTTTTTCGCCTTTAATTATATTTATCAATAAATCAGCTAAAACGTAAAGGTGTACTTGAATACGTAACCTCTAACTGTTGTTACACGTCGAATTTCAACTTCGGTACAGAGACGACAGACTTTTGATGTTTCTATTGATGACTCGAGTTAAAATATAAGATAAGTTTTGGTGAATTTGTAGTTCTGATATATAATACTTGTAAGTAGTTGGGAGTTTCTGATAACCTAAGTTTAAATTCATTATAGTTTCTTTCATTAGCATGTAAATTTTTTTGCAATTATATTTTAGTAATATCACAAATTTGAAATTATTTTATGACAGCTATATGTACTTCTTTTATGTCTGCTTAGTTTTAGACGTAGGGAAATACAAGTTTATAATAATTTACCTTAACAATTTATTTTTAAAACATAGCTGTGCTTGAAGCATATGAATGAAACTAATACATATAATAGCTTGTCTTTTTTATAAATAGTCAATAAAAGCATTAGATGTCTCAAATCTGTAAATACTGACAGTAAAGCTTATGTTTATAACGTAGTGGCTCAAAATATTCTGCATTTAATAAACTTGTAAATTGTAAATAACAGAGACCTCAGTTCTTTTGCTGTTCATTCAATTTTAATGCATTTCAGTGCAATTAATTTACTTTTTTATTTAAGTTATATGTTTTAAGTATTTCACCTGATTTCCTGTAGGATCCGTTTGAGGTTTATCTTTTGTAATGCAAATTTTGATTACATGAATTGAATTTATATGCACTCTTTTTTTAGTATAATTCAAATTTGTAGTCTGTTAACTTCCATGAAGTCATAATGCCAGCTATGATTTGCATTAATTACTAAATGTTAACTGTCCTTTTGTAGTAGTTCATTTTTGGATTCATGGAGAAGTGATAAAAAATCCGTAATATATGTTATAACTGTTAAAGCTAATGCTTCCAATTTTGATATGAGATAGTATCTTTATATGTCCATGTAATAAAATATTTGCTTTACTAGAAATGCAAATGCAGCTTAAATAATTTTTAAATGAGCAGGAATTATTCTAGATTTTGGTAATTTCTAGTGACTTTCTGGATAATTACTGATTAGTATCCTTTTGGTGTGAATAATGTAATGATTTACTTATAATGGTAAAATGTTTAAGCAATTAGATTGATTACATACTTTAAAAAATATATATATATTTATAATTGGGAGAAAATAGCACACAGTAAAAGTTTTGAGTAAATTGAAATTTATTTAGATACTTACCTTTTCAATGGGTACTTGTTATTTGCATGACTCTATTGATAGGAACTAACTAATAAACATCTGTCTTAATGTTGCTGTTATGTATGATCATGAAAGTACCAACAGTAAATAAATATTTTGATGATTGTATATGTTACCTATTTTTGTGACTATAAGTTCGGTTAATCTTTGGAATATGGTAACAGGTATTTTGGCGACATTTTGGTAAGGCAATAAAGGTTACTAGCTAGGACTTTAGCAGTGTACATGGATAAAGTCAAAAGTGTGCGCAATGCCATTTTTGTGCAATTCTGGGATTTTTTTTTAAGTGAAAATAGGTCGACGTGTACATGGATGATACTGTGCATGTGCAGTTCTTAAAAACGCGGCAAGCAGTGGGCGATTCTGCACTTTCTCCCAATTTCGCACCTAATCGTCTTCATGATTAAGCACTTTTGTTCCATAAAAGTTCTTGCATAAACGTAATTCGGCTAGCAGATTGTTGGAAAAAAATGTTGAGTTAAAAAAAAATGCCTTTGCTTCGTGAAAACAAAATGGCGTCCAAAACAAAACTAGCAGGTTGCTGTAGCAGGGTTGGTCGCCAAAAAATCGCCAAGTTACCATAATCCAAAGATTAACCCAATTTTGGTTCACTCTAAAGGAAGAAAAAAATTGTAAACATGGTTAATTTTTACTGCAGTTTTCGAGACGTAAATAGATTTGAATGTGAGCTGCCTGGTGGGTTAATTTAAAGGTCTCGGTCAGGACAAAATTAATAAGTTGCTAAGAGATTTATAAGAGAAAACTTTTGCTGATACAGATTTAGACTGTGCAGATAGTGATAAATATGTTTTAATCAATTTTTTAATGAAGATAAAGTTGCTGATGACTTCAAATGCAATGCTAATTTATTTGAATGGAGACAGCCAAATGAGCATGACAAAGCTAACATTAGCCCTATACTGGTAATCCTGGTATAAAGATTGAATTTTCAGAAACTCATCTTGCTATGGATTTTTTTAAATTATACTTTTCAGATGAATTGTTTAAAATTTTAACCAGAGAAACTGATCGATATTCTTCTCAATTCTTAGAGTCGTGGCCAAATATAAGCAGTAAAAAGAAATAAAGAAAGCAACTGAACGTCAGTTACATCTAACGAGCTTCAGATACTCGTGGAACATATTGAAAAAGATAGCATTTGAGATTATTGGTTCACAGATTTAATTGAACACTAATTTTTTAATAACATAATGTCATGAGACAAATTTTTAATGATTTAAAAACTTTTGCATTTAGAAAACAATATGGAAAAACCCGACAAAATTATGAGGTTAATCTTTGGATTATGGTAACTTGGCGAATTTTTGGCGAAAATTTGGCGACCAACCCTGCTACAGCAACCTGCTAGTTTTTGTTTGGACGCCATTTTGTTTTCACGAAGTAAAGGCATTTTTTTCCCCCCTTCAACATTTTTTTCCAACAATCTGCTAGCCGAATTACGCTTATGCTAGAACTTTTATGGAACAAAAGCGCTTAATCATGACGAAGATTAGGTGCGAAATCGAGAGAAAGTGCAGAATCGCAAACTGCTTGCCGCGTTTTTAAGAATTGCACATACACGGTATCCATGTACACGTCGACCTATTTTCACTTAAAAAAAATTCCAGAATTGCACAAAAATGGCATTGCACAACACTCTTGACTTTATCCATGTACACTGCTAAAGTCCTAGCTAGTAACCTTTATCGCCTTACCAAAATGTCGCCAAACTACCTGTTACCATATTCCAAAGATTAGCACAAAATTGTCCTGAAAACGGCCCTTGTTAGATTTTCTTCTCCCCTCCTTGTAGGGCGATCAACAAATCGTTTCACTTAAGTGATGGTTTCCTACTGTCCTTTGATTACTGCCTGGAGGCGATTAAGCAGAATGGGTCTGGTTTTGCCCTTACGGAGGAAGGAACTCGTTTTGTGTCCATGCTTTGGTTAGACGAAAAAAAGATTTTTTTTTTTTTCTGGAAATCCATAACAGAAAAGGGAGTTTTCTATAGCCTTGTTACTAATTTTGTGCATATTTCTGATTCTAATTGCTTATCCAGAGCCGTGCCAAGATATTTTTTCACCTAAGGCAGAAAGGATAAATGCTCGTTCCTATATATATAAAAATAGCTACATTTGTATTAAGCGAAAGTAACTGTATTAAGTCAAAATATCATAATTCTTATAGCATAATATACCATAATTCTTAAAGTATTTTTTAATCGTAGTTTTATAAATTCAGAAAAATAATGTAGCCAATTAATTATTTATAATTTTCAAATGAAAACGTTAAAAAATTTGTTTTTGATAAATAAGAAATAACACTGAAATGCATACTGCATTAATTTCCAGGTTTTCTTGCAATTTTTTTTTGTTGGGTTTGTTTTATTGATTTAAGTTTGATGAAGCCTATTTCCCCTAATAATTACTGACAAATTAAAAAACATAATTAAAGTAATTTTCGAATTCGTATAGCCAATTCGGCACCTCTTCTAGTGAATGCCTGCCCCTTTTCCCGGCTTTGTTGCTTTTTAAGTATAAATCCCAGAATTGCACAAATACCGTGCAATTTGATTTTTATTGCGTTTCGGTATTTTAATGCACGTTTATAGAATGTTAATTTGTTTTTATATGCATATTTCAGTAATATAATCTTATGACTAGTGAGACAGTGTAGTTTAACTAATTTTCTGCTTTTGATTCATGCTATCGAGCTTTAATGTTAAGAAAAAATTTATAAGAGGCCTTAAATACCTAATTCCTATTGAAAGCTACATGAAATTGATAATTAAATTACTATTAAAATAACAAACACATGCTCAGTGTCAGTTATTTCGACGTAAATGTTTGTAATTCATTTTACCACAAATTTATTTCGTTTATCTTGTTTCATATTTATAAAAGGGCAGTTTACCTTTATCGCATTTATTGGTTGATAGAAGTTATGAAATATTGAATATGTTGAAACAAATTTCAGTCATAATAACCTTATGAAAAATTTCCTACATAATAACAAGATGTCATGGATACCTCTCAGTTTCCAAACTGAATTACATGGCACTGAAATTCGATGCATTTTCATATGATTATTTTTGACCGAAAAAGTTACCTTATGTAAATCACAAAAGAACATTGTTTTAATTCTTAATTAAATATAGTACTTGTATTAAATTGCTAAAATTCATTGTTAGGAAAATCTCGCTCTAAAAAATTAGGTACTTTTACCTTTCAAAGGGGAATTTTTGTGGTTTTCCCTGTGCATAATGTGGGCGCGAGTAAGTTTTTCTTAGAATGTCCTCCATGGAGGCATTCCTCCCTTTAGGCAGATAGCTCTCACGTGCTTTGAAGTAAAAATTAAGAAAACCAAAAAAGCTTCAAAGTTGGTGTTTAACATTTTTTTGGGTTCTAATACGCAAATTACTTACCGATCTCAATTCACATTATCAAATGTTATTATTTAAGTAAATAAAAGCAAGTGAAGATTTTCATTTTCAAACAAAAAATTCAAATGAAGATTTTTTGTTTTTGAATTTTTTGTTTTAAAATAAAAAATAAGAACAGTAATTTTTGAATAAATATTGTCAACATTAAATAGGGATAGGAACATGCCAATGTAAAATTTAATATTAGGCCAAAAGAAACGCTTTGACGTAGATTTTGGATAAAACTTAATCAATTTTGAAGATAGTCAGAGACAGGCATTTCTTCAGTAGAGAGAAAAAAATGTTTCAGAAGTATTTGTGTATTTATTACATAAATGGGTACTATTCGGTTTCGAGGGCCGTAAAAAAATTGCAGCGAAAATGTACGCGCAAAAGCGCCAAATCTAGCAAACTCGCCCATTTAACAGCGTGCCAAAGCTAGCGCACGCGCTGATTTCAGATTGCGTAAGCTTATATAGGTCTATATTTCTTAAGACGTC